AAATCCAATATACTATTTTGCGAAATTTAATATTGTAGATTTAAACTTGAAATTTAAAAAATCAGGATCTGGACAATTCTAGTAAATTTAGTAATTAAAATATCTGGTTTCCGCTATTATGTAACAGTTAAACTCACAGAACTTACAGTGTAGTAAACTGAGTTGTACCTTACACCTGTTCTGAAAAGGACAACTGAAATTTTGTGAACAATTGAAAAATATATAAAATTGTTAAATTAGTTAAATACATATACAGCAGAGGTGGGGTGAGGTTTTGAAACATCTAGCCAATTTGAACATGTTAAAGGGTGAAAAAATCCATACTAGTATCTAAAAACAAAGTTTACCAATTGGCACCAACCATAGCTAATTTTAACTGGTTTGCACACAGAAAAACTATTTTCGAAACAAACAAGAAGGAATACAGATCGAATATATTTTTGAAATTTTGTGAACAATTGAAAAATATATAAAATTGTTAAATTAGTTAAATACATATACAGCAGAGGTGGGGTGAGGTTTTGAAACATCTAGCCAATTTGAACATGTTAAAGGGTGAAAAAATCCATACTAGTATCTAAAAACAAAGTTTACCAATTGGCACCAACCATAGCTAATTTTAACTGGTTTGCACACAGAAAAACTATTTTCGAAACAAACAAGAAGGAATACAGATCGAATATATTTTTGAAATTTTGTGAACAATTGAAAAATATATAAAATTGTTAAATTAGTTAAATACATATACAGCAGAGGTGGGGTGAGGTTTTGAAACATCTAGCCAATTTGAACCACATGTAAAAGGGTGAAAAATATCCATACTAGCATCTAAAAACAAAGTTTACCAATTGGCACCAACCATAGCTAATTTTAACTGGTTTGCACACAAAAAAAACCCACTATTTTCGAAACAAACAAGAAGAAATACAGATCGAATATATTTTTGAAATTTTGTGAACAATTGAAAAATATATAAAATTGTTAAATTAGTTAAATACATATACAGCAGAGGTGGGGTGAGGTTTTGAAACATCTAGCCAATTTGAACCACATGTAAAAGGGTGAAAAATATCCATACTAGCATCTTAAAAACAAAGTTTACCAATTGGCACCAACCATAGCTAATTTTAACTGGTTTGCACACAAAAAAACCCCACTATTTTCGAAACAAACAAGAAGAAATACAGATCGAATATATTTTTGAAATTTTGTGAACAATTGAAAAATATATAAAATTGTTAAATTAGTTAAATACATATACAGCAGAGGTGGGGTGAGGTTTTGAAACATCTAGCCAATTTGAACCACATGTAAAAGGGTGAAAAAAATCCATACTAGCATCTAAAAACAAAGTTTACCAATTGGCACCAACCATAGCTAATTTTAACTGGTTTGCACACAAAAAAAACTATTTTCGAAACAAACAAGAAGAAATACAGATCGAATATATTTTTTAAATTCTTCCTCCACTTCTTTTAATACACCACAAAGCTTGTTTTGAGATTGTACAGGGACTGCATGCACATTGTTCAGGTATAAGATATTCTGTATACAGAGAGACGCGGGGTACAAATTAAACCAAGTATTCACTGTTCACATAACAAAAGGGCTAATTTGAAAGCGTTTTAGTTCAACTTCGGAAAAAACACAAACTTTCCATCACCATATAAATGCAGAATGCATATACTGTGTTCTCGGAACGCAGTTAAAATTAAACATAAAAAATCAAACGAGCAAAAGGTCACCAATCGAGCCTTTACTTCAAATATATTACACATTTCAAGCCGATACCTTGAAGAATTTAGAAGATATGCTCCGGAAACGAAAATGTGAACAAACGGGCCAACGGATGGCTATATCCCCTGTTATGTCGGGGACTATTTCGTATGCATGTAAATGCAAGGGTATTGTGCTTGTGTTTGCCTTGATATGTTAACAGTTATGTACAAAAATGAATTGGGTTGCTGATGTAATTGGCTGTAAAAAATGCACTGATTTAATTAAATGTTAACAAATCAGACCTTTTCTAATAACTCATTTTACTTTGTTCGCCCTTTTCAATGATTTCAGCGTTAAGGCCAACGTCCGTCTGCTCGGCTGAAACAGCATATGTAGAAGACTGTGAGTGACCATTCATTATCGTCTGCAGTCGAGGGTAGGTCGGAGATTCAGGCGAACGTGGAAACGCGGGAATCATCATCCTTGCCACTGCTGATCCAGCATCTCCCTGCTTGCGTGTCAGCTAATTTTGTTCTTTCATCGCATTAATTAATACTACTTTAATAACAACGGTTTTCATTTAACGTTGGGAAGAAATACAACTCTGTGCCATATCCCTGTGTTTCTTATTACAGTCTGAATTAATATGCCTAATACCATTAGCAATACTTGTGACTTCGAATGATAAAACGAGTTCATATCCATGTGCTTTATTAATTTACGAATTTCCTCGTTTTTTTATCTTATAAACGTTTGATTGCTTCTTGCCAAATGTTGCTCTAAAACGTGGAAACGAAACCTGTTTTACGTACAAAGATAAACATTAAAGAATATATTTAATCGTGTTTTGCAGTAAATTTTATTGATCTTTTTAGCATATTTGTATTTCAACTGTTTTAAAATGGATGTATTTATTTATATTTTTAATTATTTATTGATTTATCCATTTAATTTTGGATTTGTTCAAAAGTGTTTAAGAAGTGAGAAGATGCGTCTATGCCAACAAACAAGTAACTGTTGTGATTTCAGCCATCTTGATAAGTGGGGGGATTTGGCAAAATGATGAGGCCAAAAAGAAATAGGACTCTTTTTCCCGAATGGATGCGGGTTGTATCTAAAATTTTCTGAAATGTATCTACTGGGGTGCCGATGCTCATACTATTGTCCATTAGTTTGCCTACTGAATACTTGACAAGCATTGCAGGCCTCCGCAATCACGCCGACTGTCGCGCACAATCATTTATAGGACGCTTCAACCAACTGCTTGGTACTGTTTGGGATGTCATTTCTCCAACTGAAACGTAAGATTCTTGTTTATTGTTTACTTTGGAATATCGTGGTTGAATATCATGTGAATAAATAATAAACTATTTCAAAATATATATAAATATATATTTTTTAAATTAAGATTCAGTTAGTATATTCCAATTATCTTTTACAGGACGCAGGAATGCTAACTGTTGCAGAAAATGATGGTTCGATAGCCATAAACAAATTTGACAACAGTTTTTTCAACTTCCAATTACATAAAAACAAATTCGATATACTTTCTTTCGCCCCTCAGTTATAAATATCGACCCGTGAAGATTCCTGGTTAGAATAGGTCTTCATCAACCCATGCTTGCCGTAAAAGGCCTCTATGCTTGTCGTTAGAGGCGACTAACGGGATCAGGTAGTCAGGCTCGCTATATTGGTTGATGCATGTCATTGTATCCCAATTGTGTAGATAGATGCTCATGATGTGCTGAGTGCGCCGTTAAACAAACAAACTGAGAAGCCAAAGAACGATTAACCTCCACGTAGGTAAGAGTTGGACATTGGACAGAATGCAGCAGTTGCCGAGTGGGACATTCCAAAGAATAGCCCTGCACTGGCAGCACTAATCAATTCGGTTTTTACTGACTGTCATTGGAGACTTTTGATACGGTGGATGTCATGACATATATGCTGGAGACGCGAGATACGGTTGGGGTATGACATATCTAGGAGTACGTGAGATATACCGTTAATACATGATATATTTGTGGTGGAGACTATGAGATTCGGTGTGAAGGGGATTCGGAGGAGACGTGAGATATGAAGGAGACAGGAGATATACGGCGAAGACGTGAGATACGATGAACACATGAGACAGAGAGGAGACATAACATATATGGTGAAGACCATGAGACACGGTGGACACATGAGACAGGGAGGAGACATGGGATATACAGTGAAGACCATGAGATACGGTGGACACATGAGACAGGGAGGAGACATGGGATATACAGTGAAGACCATGAGATACGGTGGACACATGAGACAGGGAGGAAATATGAGATATACAGAGAAGACCATGAGACACGGTGGACACATGAGACAGGGAGGAGACATGGGATATACAGTGAAGACCATGAGACACGGTGGACACATGAGACAGGGAGGAGACATGAGATATACAGTGAAGACCATGAGACACATGAGACAGGGAGGATTTATGAGATATACAGTAAAGACCATGTGACACGGTGGACACATGAGACAGGGAGGAGACATGGGATATACAGTGAAGACCATGAGACACGGTGGACACATGAGATATGGAGGAGATATGAGATATACAGAGAAAACCATGAGACACGGTGGACACATGAGATATGGAGGAGACGATGAAATACAGACGCGACAAAGAGATAAGGTAGAGACAATGAGTGAGTTAAAATTTAACGTCGCACCGGCATTATTTCCGCCATTTCGCGAAGAGACCAAGTTAATATATTCACAATTTAGTTATTTATGCAAAGTTATATTTAAAAACAAGTCATGAAACACATTTGAGCATACTGTATTGGTAGAGACAATGCTATAGAGTAGTAGCGACGACATCGGTAATATTTTACGAGTGCTTGCATCAATGTCTCCAGACCGAGTCCATATCTGCATTTCCCTTGGTTAAATGTGTGTGGGGAACTATATTTGTTTTGATTATGAGTGCATCATATTAGGTAATTTCTTGGAACTGAATATTTGAAAGCTCGAAATGGATCGAAACTCCTTAAAGATAAGAAAATCAGTACTGCTTTACATTATCAAACTACATTTCTAGTAACTCTGTTAGATGTTTCCATTCATTTAGCATCACTGATTTTATGCCCTAATGAAAATAACACCCGTAGCTTATCAGTTTTATACTCAAACGTCAATACCTTTCACAACACGACATTAATGTTTACCGTAACGAGAAAAAGAACGTTTAAGAGAATACGCGATTTGACCCAGAGTAACCTCTGACCCCTCTGCGCATAATGGGTTCGTCCGAGGTTTCACTTCCGCGGTGTGTATTTTTCGGTAGCGGTGTTATTAAGCAAAATGCCGGAAGGATTGGACGAGTTCGCTACCAAATACAAAGTCCACAGTGAGTCCCTGGCATATCTGGAGATTCAGCAAGCTGGCGGAACCGACATCACAGACGATTCTATCCCACTGGACGACAGGAGAAGGAAAGCAGCTGAGTCGTCATCCAAGTTGATCAACGATGCCGACGAGTTCGCCGGCACTGTGAAGGAGTTCAGGGTTCCTTCAGCCGCCTTGCCAGGTACGTTGGGGGTGAGGGTGGGGGTGGGGGGCCATGTGGAGGCGGCGGGCAAGTGCTCTCACGGAAGTCTCATGCAATCAAAACAATAATATTTTTAGAGATGCGTCGGCCTCATATTGTCAGATGCCTAGCACGTGCTTTGAAACATTGTCACACATAGAATTTTACTATTACTCATGTGTAACCGAAATAGCACACTGAGTGGGTATGGGATTTGTCCAATGTCATTTCAACATCTGGGGTCAGTCTTGAACTAACTGTTTGTGTTCTTTTTCGGATCGCTGTCAGTCGACACGAGAAGAGAAATGCTGACAGACAAGTTGTTCCGATAACGTAGAGACTCGGTGGACGCGTCCATTTATTTTTTGGGTAGCCCTGTGTGGTGGGCGTGGTCACCTGCTCCAGTGCTTCAAGCTGTTCTATTAGACATCATTTGACGAGCTGTACCCACATATAGCTGTGTAAGATTGAAAAGAATTGCAATGTGAAGTGTGCAGTATGTATTACATAAAAAATCTATTCCACTATATCAATCAAACTCCTATTTCACTTCAAAACAGACTGAAAAATCAATTAGAGTAAAGAACTGATCAACCTCAATTGGCGTAGGCCACCTACCGGAACACCGGAAGCGCTCCTTATATCTCCAATCTTATCATCATCATCACCTTCCGTTTTACTGCAGATGGATTAAGTAACTCGGTGAAGTGGTTGAGTGGCTGTTACATAACCTGACAGTGGGGATAATATCAATCACTGGATTGTCTGATCCAGACTTGATTATCTGCAGGCAGTCATCATCGAGCTGGAATATTGCTGAGTTTTTTAACAAATAAACAAGCAAACAAATGAAAAGGGATAGTACTTCAATGAAACCAATGATAGTCAGGCTCTGATCCAAATGATGGCTGGATGCTAGTGAATGTAATAGTTGCCTGTTATATTTCCCATCTCGCGTGATTATTTATGTAATCAATGAACACATCGTCATTGGCATTCAAATATGTTTAATTTTTGTTGGAGAACCTTGAGCAAACTGAACACCCAATCTAAATGAAAGAAGCAGAGGCCCTTGAACCTATCAGATGACAGGTTACTATATAAGGATTTGGGTTCAGTCTTTGCAAAGAAAAACATAACAGAACACAGATATGCCCTCATTACTACACCCTCTTCTGTTTAGATAACTATAAAAGCGCTGCTTAATGGGTTTTTTTCATTCTGAACTCACACATGATATTTGTTTTCAAGACATGGAAATCAGATATGCTTGTCTGAATGGTTCCCTCACTCACCAAGAATTTAGTAACCTTGATGTTGATTGGCCAATTAGAAAGTTCACCTGACGTGACCTCCCATGGATGCATGTGTCCTCAGGTCTTCTCGCAGAGTGGTGTCGTATCGGAGTAAATTATATGAAGTTAATGTGACTCCCTCACCCACCCACTCTCCCTCCATCACCCACCCAACCTCCCTCCCTCACCCAGCCAACCTCCTTCCCTCACCCACCCACTCTCCTTCCCTCACCCAGCCTACCTCCCTTCTTCACTCTCAAACTCCCTTCAAACTATGCTCCATCCATGCCCCTCCATCCACCCTCACTCTCTCTCACCGTCCCCTGAAACCTTCCTCTCACCCTCCAACACCCCTCCATTCACCCTCACTCACACTCAACCATCCATCCACCCTCACTCCCCCACTCACTCACCCTCCACCACCCATCCATCCACCCTCACTCATCCCTGAAACCTTCCTCTCACCCTCCACCACCCCTCCATTCACCCTCACTCACCCTCACCCAACCATCCACCACCCTCACTCACTCATTCACTCTCAACCACTCATACAACCATCCACTCTCCCTCCACCACCCATCCAACAACCAGTTGATAACTTGTATACTTTATAGACCAATAAGGCTATGTACTTGAGTAAAAAGGGTAAACTAACAGACAGTTGGGTTGCCAAAAAATATTCCCAAACTCTAGTTCCCACGGAAATCATATTGCACTTTATTGGACAAACGTTTACACTGGCTCCATGGTGAGAGCGCTGCAGCACCCTTCATCAGTGTTCTGAAATGGCAGAACAGGACAGTGAGGGTCTGTATTGATGTTATTTTGTAAAGAAATTGATTTGATGATCATTAACTAATGCACCGTAGAGATTCCAGGTTCAAGTTGTTATGGTGATGTGAGTGCTTGTGTTCCCATGCCCCTGTGGTGTGTGGTTACCATTGCCAGTTGCCTGATGGTTACTCTGCCAGAGCTCCAGATAAGCTTTTGGTGTTGTGGGTATTTTACCCATGCATTTTAAAATCATTGGGTATCAGTAATTCTATCTGGGTATTCAAATTTCTGTTACCCACTAGTTTTTACACATGTGGGTATTTAAGTTAAATATTTAAAAACACTATTCATCTAGTCCCTGCAAACTGGTGTCGTGTAGGTTCGAGAGCTTTATAGGACTCAAAAATACCACGATACTTCCACAAGAAATTGTGATGGCAAATGATCGTGATGTAACTGTCATCGTGGAGTTTGGCAAGGTTAACGGAATGCCCGTTTATAATTTCAAAATAAGTTGCTGATTTGCTAATCGGATACGCAGGGTTACTTCACAATATTTTGATGATATGCAAAAGTTTATTTTTGTAGCGTATCTGTAATGTTCGGTGCGTATTTGATACGCTTGGATTTCTGCGTTTCTGATGCGTATTTTACGCAGATAGCTTATCTGGAGCTCTGCTCTGCTATCTGAGATCAGGTCTCTGTATGTACTAACGTAATCATTGTAACTAGCACCTGCGACTTATAACAACCCCCTAATATAAAATATAAGCAGTGGATCTCCCCTAAATTAGTGACATTAAAGTGAAAAAGGCTGAGCTCTTGAACCCTGAACTGTCTAATGATCTCTACAGTCTTGTTGAATGTAATTGTGGATAACACTGGTAGGTGCATGATTGTAACATGAACTGGGCAACCCACCATTTAATGGTTCAGGGGTGCGAGGAGCTGGGATTTTTGATAAAAAAAGACAGAATAATTTTTCAGCGACTGCTTCAAAACAAGTTTATTCTTTCTCATTATACATTTTTCACTAAACATCTGACGTGTCCAATAAACTAATCTGTTTTGTTGTAAAACATGAGGACAAATTTAAATTATTAGCTACTAATCATTTGTAATTCTCATCAACACTAATCTGAGGAGCTACTAATCAAGTTATGTTTCATGAACACTAATGTGACAAGCTACTAATCAATTTGTTATTCTCATCAACACTAATCTGAGGAGGTACTAATCAATTTATTTTTCATGAACACAAATGTGACAATCAACTTATCAATTTGTTATTCTCATCAACACTAATCTGAGGAGGTACTAATCAATTTATTTTTCATGAACACAAATGTGACAATCAACTTATCAATTTGTTATTCTCATCAACACTTATCTGACGAGCTACTAATCAATTTATTTTTCATGAACACTAATGTCATTATGTGACCAGGTACTTATCAATTTGTTCTAATTAGGATGCTTCTGTTTTCCAGTACAACATGTACAAAGTACACCAGGAATATTAAACTGGCAGAACAAATGGCACCATGGTGTTAAAAGATGAATTGATCATCACACAATGGGAATGTTTGGAAAATAACACCATTACTTCATGAATATTGAGATTATTCTACCTTCAACAGTGCCTCCCAACATAACCACCTATCTGAAACCCACAGCTTTAATCGTGGATTATAAAACCAGTTGCCATAGCAATGTGTAGAAAAGCTCGCCAACTGAGTAAAGTGTTCTCTGTTGGAGTGGAACATAATATAGAACACACACCACCAATCTCAGCAGGAACAGTCTCGCCTCTTTCCTCTTGATAGACACATGGATGATTCATAATTCATATCTGAAATTGCGTGGTGATGAAAGATTATGAAATATGTTTAAATTACGATCATGAAATATAAATGACACTGAACCATTGAAACGGAGTCAGTGTCGACAGAGTTGAGGGCTAGGAGTGCCTGGTATTGATCTGCAGATTTACGACCGTCTGGCTGGTGTACAGGCAGTGTTGGGTGTTATTACACGGACATAATTACATAGTCTTGGACAGTACAGCTGTGAACTCATTAACCATCCTACTAGATGACCCACTGGTCTCTCCATCAGCTTGTGACCATGTGGGAACCCCATGGCATGAACCTGTCCAGACCAAGATTTTGAGATCTGCTGCTTGATAAAGTCCCCATGAGCGTGCATGGTGCAGGTGATGGGTTATGAATGCACTGAAGTGGTAATAAAGGGGGCAGTATGTGGCGGAAATGAGAGTGTCGTGATTACTTTTCAGTATAATAAAGTCAGGTTGAACTAGGAAATCAGTGCTGGTAATCTATTTATTTCATCTTGGTTATTCTGAGATTTACCCCGTCTATCTATTTTTGAGTTGAATAAGTTTAGGGGTCTAAGGCATGGACATTGTGATGGAATCCATTTGCTGATGTCACGTCACTGCACATGCTCAGAAGCCATAAATCTGTTTGGATGGGGATTTCAATGTTAGACTGATGCATCACATCAGGCTTTCAGTCAAACACATTTGTGGGGCTGTTTGTAACCTACCCCAGTGCAATTCACAGAAAATGTCCCTATCTGGATCTTGTCCCTATCTGGAAGGATCTTGTCCCTAGCTAGAAGGATCTTGTTCCTATCTAGAAGGACCTTGTCCCTATCTGGAAGGTCCTTGTCCCTATTGGGAAGGATCTTATCCCTATCTGGAAGGAACTTGTCCCTATCTGGAAGGATCTTGTCCCTATCTGGAAGGACCTTGTCCCTATCTGGAAGGACCTTGTCCCTATCTTGAAGGACCTTGTCCCTATCTGGAAGGACCTTGTCCCTATCTGCAAGGACCTTGTCCCTATCTTGAAGGACCTTGTCCCTATCTTGAAGGATCTTGTTTTGTAATAAAACTGTCAGATCGGTAAT